CGATGTTTTGCAAGCATTGGTCATGTATGCTGGTGTTCTCGTCGCCATCGTTCAAGGCAGGTTGATACGTCTGAAAATGTCACGTGTAGTACGATTGTAATCAGATAAGTAAACAAAAAATGTTGAGAAAGTCTTTGTGGAATCTTTTAATTAATGAAAACAATTGAGTTCTATATTTATCGATCAAAGTAATAAATACTATCAGTATTAGTCAATTCCTTTACGGCTATATACTGATTGATTGAGGTCTGCTAAAACCCATGAAATGTACTCTGAAATTGAATGAAAGTAATTTGTTTCGGTCGTTTGTGATAGGTTTAAGTCTAGTTGGTGGCTTCAAACGAGCATTTTCAATTGCTTCTCATGGTGGCCGTATTGAATTTGATAAGTAAGTTCATCGACACTCTTTACATACGTATATAGAACGAAAATCTGTATCTTCTAATCAATTTAGTATGAGTTTTGACCCTCGGACGCGTCATACAATTTGGTCAATTTTGATTGGTAACTCTTTTAATGCATTGCTGACCTATGGTTTCAATCAAATGCAAGTACAACGCTATATGTGTGTTCGATCAACACGAGGGGCACAAGCAGCTCTTTTCATCAATATGATCGGCGTCGCTTGTCTCATTCTTCTATCTGGTTTGATGGGTGTCATTCTCTATGCATACTATGCCGGCTGTGATCCATTCACGGCTGGGCGCGTCCAAAATGTTGATCAAATCTTTCCATACTTCATTATGGATGCATTGGGAAACAAGAAGGGTATACCAGGCTTATTTCTTGCTTGTGTATTCTCGGGTTCGCTCTCAACTATTTCATCTGGACTCAATAGTTTAGCAGCAGTTATTATCGAAGATGTTTACAAGGGACTGATGCGACGACAGCTAAGCAATGAGCAGCAAGGCTTTATATCAAAAATATTTTCAGTTGTCGTAGGCGTCGCAGTAGTACTTCTCACCTACATTGTGAGCTATTTGGGCTCGGTGATCAATGCAGCAATATCATTGTCTAGTACTCTCTGCGGACCCATCATGGGTGTATTCTTTCTTGGATTTTTCTTCCCACAAGCAAATCGAGTAGGAGCATTGGCTGGATTTTTTGCTAGTTTAGCATTGCAAATATGGATTTTTGTTGGTGTACAATTAACGAAAAATCAAAGGAGCAATAATCGTTTGCCATTGTCACTAGTCAATTGTACAGATATCAATGTGTCGAAACTGATGATGATGAATACGACAAAAGCAGCAGAAGTCATCAAGTAAGCAGACATTTAATTACACTGTCTGTGAATCTAATTTAGATAATTTTGATGACTAATGGAACATTGACCTATTCCTTTGATTTTTTTCTAAAGATAATTCAATGCTTTTGATGCATATTTATTCGACACGATCTACTTCAAGAGTTCAATCCCTGATGAATTCAGATGTCTTTTCGTTCCTCTCATTATTCTTAGTATTGATTCGAATGATGAATGAACTGAAAAATTTGTGAATGTATTCATAGGCACTATCTATGTCTTAGTTTTCTCTTTGAATTATCATATGAATTTTATATTATTTTTAGACCCAATCCACTGCTTGATCTTTATTCAGTGAGTCACATGTGGTATACACCAATCGCTGTTGGTACCGTGCTGATTGTTGGCATCATAGTATCTTATCTTAGCCGTCCCTTGAAACCACACGAAACCGATTTTGACTTAATCATTCGAAGAAAGGATGTGAATAGTTTTTGTTGTTGGCCAAAACGATGGCGAAAGTCGTTTCTTTATGTCGTCTCCGGTGAATTCTCTACTAAGCTGGAGGTATTTTCTTCATGATATTTCTTCTCATAAAATAGTCTTCATTGTCATATAGAACCCAAAAGATTCGGAAATGCCATTAACAATGCCAACAACTACGTAATAATATGCATTATTGTAATGAACAACTACATTTAAAATTTCTAATCCGCGAGATAAATATGCTTATTAATTATATGAATCAACCAACTGGATGATAAAAAGAACTGCTAGTGACAGTAATGAGCTATATATAAGACATGATGACAAAAAAATAAATGAAAGTTTTATTCTTATTATATTTGAGCACATTAATGATTGACGAATTATGTTTGAAATGATAGAAAGAGGCAGACCTATAGATATCGACTAATGCAATCAATGTTCTTCTATTCAAAACTTCAGTAACTCTACTCGTTCCAATTTACAAGTCAAATGGACTTTTCTCAACTTAACGTCTTTTCGAGATTTCAAGCTAGGGAAAATATAAAACTGAACCTGAGGAAAGACTGATTGAAAAATTTCATCCATCTTTCATCGAATATGAACAAATTAAATTTAAAAAAAAAAAGAATCCACATCATACTACAATGCAGGTGTATAAAGTAGTGGCGAGAGAAAAGTTCTGTTTATTGAGTCTCTTTGAGTATGGTTTGAAATGTTTCATTATGTGATAAAAATGGCAACATTTTATACAAAATCTACGTATAGTTTATTGTAAATCCTTAGGATTATTATACAAAACAGTATAGATAGCATGAAGTTGGGATATCTATTGAATCTAAACCATGAATTCTTGATCAATAGATTGTGTAGAAGACAGGAAGATCCCTATTCACATCAGCATAAGATGGCGTTTCCTATATAGAATATAATTGATTGATGAATGAGGATTTTCATTCCTTATATCTCAAAAAATCAAAAGATAAGTACTGATATGTGAGTGAGTATGAGAGAATTCATTATAGATTTACTTTTACATCTACACTCACACTCATAGACTTACATTTCCACTTATTACTCATTGTGCCTTACTAACAAATTCTACAAAGATACACGAAGACGAACGGCATCAATGTTTATTCTCAACTACGATTCTCGTGTTTGTTTATTTATTGAGTATCTAGTACATGAAATCTTGAAGATGACATCAAATTGAAAAGAGTCGATATTTTTGCGAGGACGACAACTCGAGGTGCATGCGTTGCACTTTTGAAAACTGCTCAGCAAGATTGTTTTTCAATATTTTAAAGAGACAATATAAACACGCTTATGAAATACTGAATTCGAGATGATCTAAAATCGGTCGTTGAGTTGATTGTCGAACTTGATTCGACGATAATTAAAATGGGAGAGATCACTAGTGTTGCTGAGACTTGCAACTGTTAAAACAAATTTGTAACTATGATCAATCAATTCTCTCGACTCGTTCATTCATCTAGATAAGATTTTCTTCTTGTGCTTGATTTTTCAGGTAAGTAATATTAAGGAAAAAAATGAAAATGTGTTTATAAATATAAACGAAGCTTCAAGCAGAGACAAGCAGATTTCTTTTTTTTCGTTTTCGTCATCACTGTGTTACATTGCTCAGTCTTGTTATACATCATTAAAATCGGCAGAAAGCAATCTCAATGAATCTTATCTGGTTGAATCGTTCTCAAAGAAGAATCAATAAATCAAACTTTAGCACTATTAAACCTGTTCCAAGCTATAAGATACTCCATAAAAGAAGATCCAATTGACTAAAAGCTCGAAAGGGGTGAGATGCCACTGAATGCATTCCTAGGTACCACTACGATGTGGTTCATGATACAACAATGATAAACTGATTTGAAGATGAATGAGGAGTCGTTGACGTATTTTATCAAATAATAAACAAGATGAGAGAAAAAGATCAAGAATCATGGATATAGATGAAGAAATGATTGAATAAAGACAGTAGTTAAGAAAAAGTTTAATGCTGAAGGTAAGATGTGTATGATGAAGAAAGTGTTAATGAGATGAAGTATAGGCTGCAAAGTTAAGTGTATAATGAAAAGTGAATTATGGTAACGAACGAGAAAATAATTAGTAACGATCAAAATGAAATAAGCGTCAGAGAGACAGTACCATCACAACGGTTATTTAAAACTCGAGTCTTTTAAAGGGGCCAAGAAAACAATTCTAAAGCTTTTTTTCTCCTTTCATATCAAATTGTACGAGTAAGAGTGACCACGAGCGCGATGAGTAAGTAAATGTCAGGCAAGAACTACGATCTAAGTGTGATAGTAAAAGCTAGACTCTTATCTTGACTCTATGTCTTGCTGTCAAGAATCATGTGATCAATGTTCACCTATCTCCTATAATTTGCTTTTGTTTTGTTGTAAAACTATTATTGACTCTTTTGCCATCGAATAAGTTATATTTTTGAATCGTGGGCATTTCTTTTAACTGTGGGCAATTAGTAACTTGAGAGTAAGCATATCGATGGGATATGATATTATCATTTACTATTTCAAAATATAAGGAATAATTATATAGCACCGATGTTACCATAAAGAAAATATGTATTAATCAATATTTTTATCAGATAAAAACTTCTAGCATATGTAATGCTATACCTTTTATAGGATAGCTATTATCAATTCTTATGAAATTATATAAAGTAAATAATTCATTGAAAGTTGTAACATTCATCACAAATAATAGAGATGAGGAAAACTAGATTCACAACAGTAATTGCAAAATCTTAGTCTTTTTCACTGTCATTGTTAAATGAGCATTGATATGTATATTAATCGACCTAAAACGAATTTAATAGAAACTTTGACCTGAAACTTTGAATCCAATCAAATGGCCACAAGCCTATCATCAAGCGACATTTGAGTTCAAAATTCTGTAATTCTTTGTTTCTTCATACACACTTTCACAGCGAGCGAATGTTTACTAAATGATTATCGTTGTAGGATAATTTGCAAGTCGAAAAGTGTGATTTTCTCTTGATATGGCAAACATTTATGGTTACATCGATCTCAACTTTTGCACTGGATAAGATTTAATTTTTTTCCCTATGTGAATTATGCCACATACCAAAACATTCATGCATTCAATAAAGAATCCTGTTTTCTGCTTCTTCAAAAACTTTGTCTATGAGAATACGAAATAGTTGATTATTATTAGAAATCATCGAGTACATGTAGGAAAAAAAATTTTATAGCAAACTATAACTGTTTCAACAATGATGATTCTTTTGGCGATCATGCGAATGCTTCTTTTTATGATGTTTACCATGACCTTTGCCGTGCCCTTTGTCGTGATGACTGTCATCGCTATTGCTAGAGCTACTGCTATGACGATGTCGATCCTTAGAGCCACTACCGGAACGATGACGATCTCTCGAATTACTTCCATGACGATGAGAATCTTTGGAACCACTTCTATGACGATGTCGATCCTTAGAGCCACTACCAGAACGATGACGATCCTTCGAACCACTTCCATGATGATGGCGATCACGAGAGTGTTTACAGCCTCTATCTTTTCCAGAATGATCATTGCTATCACTTGAACTAGAGCTACTGCTTCGGCGACTACGATCACAATCGTTCACATCACGAGAACCACTACCATGTTTCTTGCGTTCTCGTTTGCGTTGATCACGATTATTTCCTTTATTACGCCGCCCATCTACCTGATCTTTCATTGCTTCACGTAGTTCAGATAGATTTTCTAGAGCAGATTCATTGTTATGATGATGTTGTCCATCCCAATTAAGTGACATCGAATTAGTTACCAATGACAGGGAAAACCGATCTGAAATACATATAGAATTTATTAGATGTTAACCGTCACGATTGATGTAAAACATCAATCAATTAATGGATGATCATAAACGATATCAAAATGACAACGTTACAATAATCTAATAGTGGATTACGAATATATATATATATATAGATTTTAACCAGCACGTCTTTTTCGATCAGCCTACGTTACATCGTATAAAATTTATGAATCACGTATTTTGAGTTATAGTGCACCTACTATGATCCTACAAAAATATCATATTCTTGAAATAGGATAAGTAAAACAAATGGGGTGATTCACCAATTGAATATTGATTACTAAAATGATACTATCAATAAAATGGAGGCGTATTTTG